CACTGCAAAACGTTGGCAAATCATGGGAAAAAGTGTGCAGGAATCCAAGGTATCTCTTATGTTTTTTGTCAAGTTCAATATATCCATCCGGAATCTGGACCCAACATCGACAAGACATCGCTGGTCAAGTCAGCTTGCCACGCGTTGCAAAGGCACTTCCCGCTGAAGTCATCGCAGAATGTGATGATTTTTGTGCTCCCTGTGCAGTCTCAACTTTCATAGCTGTCACTGGGGTACCCGGGCTCTGGGCCACCTGTGTCACATGACACCAAGCTTGGGAGCCCGACCCCTGCCCCACATACTATCCAATGGCTGAAAAGTATCTGGCAACAACTCGCACTTAGATTTCATTTGGCATTATTTGGCCATATTTGGAACACTACAGTAGGGGTTCTCCAGTGGTCTCGTATGTAAATGATGTTGGGTCTTTGCCCACTGGCACAGGCAGCTGCCTCCATAGCAGCCGCAGCCACCACAGCCAGCACAGCCACCACAGCCACCACAGCCACAGCCGCCACAGCCACAGCCACAGCCAGGTTGTGTCATCACTCCTTCACCCGGCAGTGGCAAAGTGGTGTGGGTTGCCCAAGATGGGTATGGTGAACGCAAAGGACGCGAAGTCGGTGCCTGTCGTTATCTGGGGTCGAAGCCATCCAACAAACTCTCGAGTCCCAAATATGCCAGGAATCTTCACGAAGTGGGTGAGGATTGCTTTCAACTCCATGGTCTTAAAGCCTGGCCAGTGCTCATCCTCAGTCCATGTGTCCGTGTCCTGGTCTGGGCACAAAGGTAGATCCTGCCCCGCCTGGGTCAGTGGACCAAGTCACAAGTAAGAAAAAATTGCTGTGATGTCAACTTTGCTTTGCAACCTTTGACTATCGATTGTTGGCAAATTGTTGGCACAATGAACATCAATGAAATTTGTTGATGTTCTGTACCGCGGAAGAAATGTGACCAACACCAACACCGATCAAACTCTCAAAAGAACGATGACTAACGACGTATATTGTATATCTTGTTGGCTCAGTTGGTTCTAGTCTTCTACAATTTTCTACCATCTTCTACTATCTTTATTAATTGACTTTATTTTGTTTATATTGGAAACCAATAATATCTACAATCAAATAAACTATTCAACGGGGGCGCCCGCCATACGGCAACGCAGCCGGTGCAGGTCTCAGGGGCATGCTGGGCACGGGTAAGGCAGATGGTTGCAGCCTCGATGCCGGGAACGGGTCCACATTCATGGTTTCATAAGCAATCCATGAATGGTTTAAATACATGAATGGACCATGGTTTAAAATCCAAAAAAAAAATCTAAAATGAATGGAGTTTAAACTACGAAAAAGTACAAAAAGAATCAGGAGTTGAAAGATGTTAAAACAAAAGGAATGGTTTGATTGATAAAGCACCAAACATGGTACAAGTATGGGTAAATCAAATGATCAACCCCGCAAAGAATGATTCTGGCATTAAAAAACACGACCTGGTTTGATCTAATTATTTTGGTTGCTCCATGGGTACCTCACGTTGAAGCCATACCCATCTGGGCCGTGACGATGTCGCTCTTTGACCTGTCTACCCAGCTACTGTCGAGGCAGAGTCCCTGAGTGTCGTGGCATTGGCATTGGCGGTTGCGGGAACGTAGCCTTCGGTCGCAGCTGCATCACGAAACTTGTAGGTAGATTTTGTAACTGCAAATGATTCATCTTAGTCACTGTGACATTCTGCATCTGTAATTCCTTCACAGTTCACATAGTTCACATGGGCCCAAGCTTTCCCAAACACGGTGCGCCTTGGACTTTCCCGGAACATGGACAGGAGCTGTGCCTGGGACGATTTTTTTTGGGGTTGTTTATCTATCCTAAAGGTATATCATATATCAGTTAAAACATGATAAAACATGTTCCAACTGAAATTCATGATACTTTTTTCTGGTTGCTTCCTGGTGAATTCAGCTGCATTGCAGATTGAGATGCCAAACCCAAGAATGAAGTCTAATTGAAAACAGCAAGCTTTGCAATTACAATTCCAATCCATCCTGGTACCACTTGAGGCAAACAAAACCGTCAAGCTATGCGCAACCTTTGCAGAATGTCTCTGCCCTGCGACCACAACTGGGGCACGAAGGGGCCCATAATAAGATGGGTCATTTTTGTAAGCGTCCAAATACCCAAATGGGTGAATTGTGACATTCAACTCCTGCCAGTCCCGCTACAAATCCGGTCCTCCCATCGGAGCACCTGCCAGAAATGTTCAGAGGCAGGTGCGCAGCTGCAAGTGGCAATTGAGGTCACTTAACTCAGTCTACAGGTCACCTACTGGGTGTCAAATGCAGCTTCCTACTGTGGTTCATGGGATCTGTTTGACTTGTGCAACTCCACAAGGCACCTATGCCAGGCATGCCCATGCCACCTGGCAGCACAAAGAAAGCTGTTTGGAGATGTGGATTTGCTCAAAAATGGTTGATATAACTATGTTGATACCCCCAAAATATCCAAAATGGCCTGAAATTGCCACTTTGATAGATTTTGATGGAGAATGAGAAAACGATCATCAACCATTGGATTTTTGGTTCTATCCCATTGTATTCCCCATTTTCACCAGCTGGCGTACCAGGAAAACCCGGCTGGACAGGTAATCCTCCAGGCGGTCGATACTGGACCTTCAAATCCTCGATCTTTTCCTGGCAAAAGTTAGCAATCATTGGATCGAAGGTGTCATGAGAGAAGAGCTTGAAAACAGGTAACCAGGATTCTTTCCTTCAAGATCCTTCAAGACAAACACTTCGGAAAGATTTGTTCATGAGTAATTAGATGAATTGTTAAAAGAATTTTGCCTATCTTCCACCACGTCATTTGTCACATGCCAGAGGTGCGAGGATGAGCTGTCTGGCATACTCCCGATTGTCTCCGACAACCTCCGCAGAGTTGGATCATGTGTTTTTTTCGGAGAAAGGCTGAACAAGTGCAGCCCTTTTCTAGTCCTCGGAAAACAAAAACATGGTTTGCTGATGTTTGCTGGATTTATTCCCCATTTAAGGATATTTAAGGTTGATTTTCCCAGCTCTACACCTCCAGTTTTCGGGGTTTTCCCATTGCGATGATTGATTACAAGAGGGTAGCTTGACCCTGTGCATTCGAAGGGATCTGTCGCAATGATTCCATGTCACCTTTGGGGGTGACAACTGTGACAACCCCATTAATTAACCAATGTTTATTCATCTGGGGTTGACATTCTAGTGAATGTTTCTCTTTTGATCCTGGACTGCGCTGGAGGTTCTTATTGACGGGTGTTTTCATATTTGCGGCGGTCATAACTGTGGATGTTTTGATACTACACATGACCAAGTGTTCACAGCGTTACAAACCTGCTTGCGAACTGGTTCGACTCTACTTTCTTCATCGCTGTTTCCATAATTGTCATGATTTCTTTTGCAAAGCTAGTAGAACCCGAAGAGTTGCAATAAATGCTTGGATTGGTTTAGAGGAAAATTTCCGGTTGAACCTCCCTTTTTTTGTGCCAGAAACCGTGGGAAAACCACCGATTTTCCCGGACAAAATCATCCCCATCTGCCGAGCAGCACGGACGATCTGATCTGCCCCAGGAGTGCTGGGGGGCAGAATGGAGATGAACCTTGCTGCGGGGAGATATTTAATGAGATTGATATATTTAATATAGCCAAAGTAAAGTCCCACTAAAATAGTGATAAATGGCTGTTCTATCTGTTTGGGGATTGATATATATATATAGGGGGTATCACAAACCAACATTAACCAACCATATGATATTTGAGTGTGGCTGGAAATGGGGATTAGACACCATCGATGGTCATCAAATAATATGTAAAATGAAGATCCTGCATTGGGTTCTTTTGGTCATTTAGGGTACCAGTACCCTATTTTCAGACAACACCATTTAGGGACAATCTATACAATGTGTGATATGCGATATGCATGTGTATATATATATATATATAATTATATATATATATTGTATCATATATCCAATCGTTGACTGTCCCAATTTGCCCCCAAAAAAAACATGAATATGTGATCCGCGTCCAAAGCCGGTGATCATTTCCGCTCCATGGTCCCATAGGATCCCATGAGTGCATGCATCAGTGATCATCCCATGTCCTTTTTTTCGGGCGCTGGACGTCACTGGACGTGGCCCAGGAGACTGTCCGGTCCCTCCCTTGGGGAAGGAGCGATCAAGAGTCGCTGGTCATCCATTGTCATCCATCCAAATCAATGAAATAAGGGAAGCTCAAGTCGGACACGACTGGTTTGACTGGTTGGTTGATGTCGAAATTGTGAGATAAATTGACGAGTAAAGTCGTGTAAAATCTATAGCCAATCAAAATCGTAAGATCCTCACAGCACTTCATCTACAACCATGGTGCTTGCTCTCAACATGTTCTCAATGTGCTCAGACTCTTCATCGTCCCGCGACGGATCAAGCACGGAATGTCGTGTCTGCTTCCTCTTGTCCTCCATTGATTAGGTAGCTCCTTTTCTTGGCCAGCAGAGTTTGCAGAGTTTGCTCAGATTGCATGGACTCGTATAGACAATACACAATGTGTAGTTTATACTGAAAGTCCGTCAAAAAGAAACCCATGGTGATCAAAACTCGAACAAGTATTGGGGCCCCCAATCTACACCCACATAAGCTACCCACTACAGCATTGCTACAACAACACAAAATGTTCCTCCAAATTTTCATTCAAACAAACTTCGCTGGCTGTACCACACGCAGGTGGTGCGGCCAAAGCTCCTCGTGTTGTTCATGACGTTTAAAACATCTGCAACCCCCTGCGGTTGCAGCAACGGCAAAAACATCTCATGACGCCAGCAAAAAGATCAAAAAGGGGAGAGAAAGAAAAGACTCCCCAAGCTATCCAAAGTCACTTGACACCTGAGGTTATTCCTCCACATTCTGACTGCTTCAGTCCCTTTGGACAGCCCCCAGTCAGAGATTTCCACGGATCAGCCAGTCGCTTATCCCAGGTTCAGCTCTCCATCATCGGTCGTGCAGAGATTCATGCCAAACAGCGAGCAGCAGGCCCCAGTGGTCTTTTTGACCTAAAGAAAAAGGCTGTTGGTCAATTTTGGTGCTTGGTTGGTGATTATTATATCATATATCATTATCATTGATATAGCTAAGCATAGGACTTCAACCCTCTTAAGTTGGGATATGATAGCCTATAACATCTTATAACTATGGTTGGTATGGTATGATTGATGTGTTATGCTTGGTGGCAGGGCGGGCGGGTTCAAGAAGAGCAACAGAATTGTAATTGTAGGGCTAAACCGTCCATCAAACATTTTAAGCTGTGTTCATAATTATTGAATTATATATATAATATATATATATTATGTGTATTATATATATATTATGTATATATAATATATAATAATATATAATAATATATAATAATATATAATAATATATAATAATATATAATAATATATAATAATATATAATAATATATAATAATATATAATGATATATAATAATATATAATAATATCTAATGATATATATTAATATATAATAATATATAATAATATATAATAATATATAATAATATATACTAGTAATAATGTAATATATAAATACCTGGAAAAGGCACCTTTGAGACAAGCCTGATTTGCGGCCAAGGAACCTCCAAGGCTGCCCCAACAACATTCTCTGCCCGGTCCTGCTACAGGACAGAACAAGGCAATCTAAAACCGGTCCAATGCAGCTTATCAATTAGCAGCTTAAGTTCATTTGTTCCTGAGTCCTGATAAATCATATCAATCCTGATATCAATAGCATCTCAACTGTTTCAATGAGCTTTTGAATTGGTTTACATCCCATTGTACTGGCAGGTTGATTCTCTCAAATCAAATTGGTCAACTTAATATTTTTATCATCCCCAATAAATCAGGCAGTAAAAACACTTATATAACTTGTGATGTCCTGATAAGTTATAATCTAAGAATCTACCAGGAGCAATCGCTATTTTGGACGCCGAGCGTTTCAACGAAGCACCGACCTGAAGTCCAGCACCTTCTCCTTCGAGCTTGAGCGACGGGAAAGGCAGCTCGACCTACGGAAGGCTCAATAATGGTGGGAAAAGAGTGGAAGCAAAGGCGACTCAGACTTCGGCAGAAAGATGAAAGCTTGGAGAAATCAGGAATCTAGAAATTCTGTGAACTTTACTTAGACGAATTTAGACTACGTGCAACATGAACTGGCATCCTTTCTCTAAGACCACCATTCTTGGTATGTGACATTCTTGTTGCGTGCAAAATACCAAATCCTGGAAAACTGGGTGGTGGTACAAATGTTCTACTGCCAACATATGAGCGAAAATCTATGATGCCACTTGGTCTTGTCTGAAAATTATGTAAGGGAAAACCCCAAAATCGCACGATTTATCATTGATGCTTGTTCCTCTTAACATGCCTCTGACTTGAAATCCCTGCATTTCTGGACTGACTCTTGGTGCAGCCTCTGGGTGAGAAGCAGCAGCTTCCAGACTGGCCGCACTACGGTCTGAGCCAGCCTTCCCAGCGGCTGAGAAGCTGATTTGGGGATGGGATGGGATGGGATGGGATGGGATGGGATGGGATGGGATGGGTGGAGGGTGACTTCCCCACAAGAAATGGAATAGAACTACCAGGAATATCGCGAATTTTGCTGGTGGGAAATGCGGTCTGAGAATCTTCGGGAAATCTTTGGGATGTCTATGACCACCAACTATTCGGGGTCTCACTTGGGGAACTAGCACTCTTTCTCCCAAATTGCCGTGAGTCTCCACAACTCTAGGCAGTCACAGGCGTAGTTTCAGGCCAACTTACATTTGACCGATCTACACAAAAAGTCATCGGTTTGTTCGTTCCTGTCGATGCATTTTCTCCTTCGATTTCTTAAAACTCTTGAGTTGTTAATGCACAAAATAAAGACAAAGGTTGCATCCGTATCCGTATCCAAAAGAAGCAAAGCTTGAAAGCAAACCAGGGAACAAGTTCGGGAACAACCTCTAGCTTCATTTACAGTGGGCATATGTGGAAAACTGCACCAAGTTGTTTCGCCACGTGTGTGGATGCTAGAACAAAGCCCCCTGCTCAGGAAGGCGCTTATTGAGTCATTGCCTATGCAACTTGAGGGGGGGTCAACGTTCATTTTGGTGTCTTGACCAATTTTTGAATATGTTTGACCCAAAGTCCCATGATGTCCCAAGGTACCTTGTCAACATGGCTCCTGGTAACAGCATGTCGCAGCTAAATCACCTGTTTCCGACCTCTGAGCCCATCCCGGCCTTCAAGTAGATGCAGGCGCAGTTGCCACAAAGCCAGTTTGCGGTCTGGTTGTCATATTGGAACTTCTGAAAGAAATTCGCAGCCCGCAGTTGGTTCAGCAACTTGTCTTGCTCTTCCGATGTCAGGAATGGCTCCTCAGGCGGGTTGAAGCAACGTGGTATTCCGAAACGTGAAGTGCCTGGGGGAACACCATCTTCCAGCATTGAGTAACCATGCAACACAAGAACGACACACAACACGACTACGATTAAGCGGTCCCAAAGGAAAAAAAAACGCAGAAATAAACAAAACCCAGGATCAGAGATGAAACTGAGAAAATCTTCGCCATCTTCCTTCCTGAGTTGGCACATCAGAAAGTTCCGAAAGATATCTGAAATCCCGTTGCCAAATCTCCAAGATGGTGAAGGGAAATGACCTATGAGAATTACCCTCTGGTAATTTAACATAGCTATTGAAAATGGCCATTTATAGTGGATTTACCCATTAAAAATGGTGATTTTCCATAGCTATGTTAGTTTACCAGAGGGTATGAACAATCATCCCATTCCCCTGTTCCCATCCATTCCCGACTTCACCAGGGTGCAACGATACTCTGTACCCCGAGTCCAAGGAACTTGTACATGTTGTAGAGACCCTTCACCTGATCCACCACCCCGGGCATGTCAGCAATCGCATCCTCGGCTGCTGGCTGGACTGAGGTCCGCTTTCCAAGAAATTTATGAACTTTCAGGGACTTATAGTATTGCATGTCTTATAAACAGGTATACATAATATGAATAATCTGCATAATATATAATATATAATGTATAATGTAGAATGTAGAATATATAATAGACAATAGATAATAGATCAGAGATTATATATTATATATTATATAATTATGTATTATACATTATATAATTATATATTATATTATATGATTATATATTATATTATATTATTATATCTTATATATTAAATCGTATGTATTAAATATTATGTATTATGTATTATATATAATGTATTATATATTAAATATTATTTATATATTATATATTATATATTATATATTATAAATTATAAATTATAAATTATAAATTATAGATTGTATATTACATATTATATATTATATACTATATATTATATATTATATATTATATATTATATATTATATATTATATATTATATATATATTATATGTTACTATATTATATATTATATATTATATACTAAATATGACATATAATAATAGTAATAGTAATAATAGTAATAATTAATAATTATTATTATTATCATTATTATTATTTCATATATATAATATACATATTATTATTACTATTATTACTATTATTACTATTATTACTATTATTATCATTATTATATATCTAATATTATGTGTATATATATATAATACTAAACCAGACCACCCAGAATTCCACCAGAAACACCCCAGAACCACAAAATCCACCAGGAAATAGGGAAATGGAGTACACTTTAAGGACTAACCCCTTGCTAAACATCAGGACCTCTCACTTACAATCCCCATATTTTACCACCTATAGCCTGTAGTACTTTATGAACTCCAGGGTAAGCTGAAAATTTCTTTGGAGGTCCTTAGCTACTGGTTCAACTGTGCTTGAATCGACATTTAAATATGCGGAACGGGCCCAGCCATTTAAACATACGGATGGAACTGGTGTTTCATACTACCTCCGAGGGCCTCGCAGTCTGGCCCGCCCTCCACATATTTAAATGTCGTTACCGTATATATATATATCATTCATGTACACATGTTGGATTATTGAACTTTTGTAATATAAATTGCATAGCTATCCTTTCGGAGTTGTTCCCTCGTCCTCCTCACCCTGAGACCCTGCCGACCTCACCGACGCCCCGCGAGGCCAGGCATCTGCGCTCAACACGGCCTTGCCCAACTTCGCAGCACTAAGACCCATCTTAAGCCATCGACTCCACTCCAAGGTTTCGGTGGTGTAGGTGGCACCCTGACGCAAGCGCGGAGACGCAACGTGCGTGCGTTTTGTGGGATAAAGGAATGGGAGAAGGTATCCATCACTGGCAGGTTGTGTCAGGTTGCGTCAGGTTGTGAATGACACACATCACTTTGTGAAGTGACCACAAACTGATGCAAACTGATCAAGATATTGTGAAGCAATCATGACCCGTTATATTCTCGAATCTTCAAGGCCTCGCGATCGCCAATAACGAAACAAAAAGGTTCAAAAGGTGTGTGTTGATCAAGTGATCTTGAGACCTCATTCCCTGACTTCACTTCCAAAACCAGAGATGCTGGTGCAAGGTACCCCCTATCCATCCCTATCCCATCCCCTTATTCCGGGTTGGTTCCGAGGTATTTCCACACCGGGTCAAAATAATGCCTACCCAACGCAGTCCACTACAATGACAAACCAAAAAAGGGACTTTTTTAGTAGCTCATACGACCACTCACAACCACTCACAGATGCATTGAGCGCTGAGGGACATCCTGCAAAGCACAGTACCGAGTTCGGATCCTTGGCTTTCGCTTCAAGCTACAAGCAACTGAACTGGGCAAAGGACATCTGCGTGTAGGTAGACATTTAATTACACGGGAATAGATACACAATAAGACATACGTGCACATCTCTACATGGACAATGGAGCAGGTGATTGCAACTCCATCAATTCCATCCCCCGTAGACATATCGCAAG